GGAACTTTCTCAGCTCCCAGTGGGAATCGACCCATGACCTTGATCCGGATTACTGGTAAGGGTTCTGTGGATTCCTGTTTCTAGAACAAAACAGAACAGAACTTGTTTGTAATCCAAAGAGCGCCTGATAGCACATATGGTAAAAAGATCGTACGGAATTTTTCAATCCTCCAATTATAGCCTGCGAAGCAGGCGCGGGATTTTTAGGGCCGAGGGGGAAATTTTGAAGAAGCGCGCGTAACCGGCGTCTGGCACGAAACGGGCGTCAGTTATATTAATTGATATCATTCTATAAGATTTCCTTTGACGCAAAGCATCTTTACCTTTTGCGCATGCTCAGTATCCCATAGTGATACATAAACCAAGTAAATGTTCATTATCAAGTGAAATACGAACAAAAGTTGCTGTTTAAAATGAAGTTGTTTTTCAAACGTTTCGGGCCTGGCTCTTCATCAGTGGTATTGCAAGTACGTTAGAACCAGTGCAAGGTTTTTATTCACTTATGAAGTGAAGCTTAAAACCTTTTTAGTGCCCGAGGGCTCTGCACGCAGTCTAAAGGAAACGGAAGGAGCGTTACCAGGCGTTTACGTTGCGCGTTGTCCCCGCGGAGCAAGGGCGTCGTTAATGGAGTGACCAACCGTGTAAAATACACAGCGGCAGGAAAACCACGCAAGTTCTTCTCGACGCTCCGTAGGTGCTCGCCAAAACGTTGTCTTTGTCTGTCGGAGATTATTCGGAAATAAATTTTTCAGCAGGCAAACACCTCAGGAATGAAAATCCTATAAGAACGCATTTCAATGATTCTTTTAAAATCAATTAGTGTCAGGCTGAAACTTTTAAACAAATTTTATTTAGCTAAATTGGAAAAAACATAGCACGGGCTACGTGATTAAACGTGCTAATGTTATAAGGAGACATCTACAGACGTATTTATCAATAGTCTTGACCTTTAAAGAAAGCACACTTATATACATTAGGAAATAAGTACGTAATTCTTTGTTCAATTATAGGATTGCTTTCAAAGCGTTGTTTTCCATCTAATTACTTGCCAATATTGTTATTGTAGAATAATTAAAGTACTCGCTAAGTGAATGAAAACAGCGTACAAATTGGTCAGTAAAACTTATTGTAGTGTTTTTTTGTTGTTTTTTTAGCGGGTTCTTTTGAGGGGTAAAATTTTGTTTAGGCCCGCCTTAATTGGGACCCTTTTGGGGTCAAAAAAAACCTTAGCCCCCGCCAGAAGGGGTCCCTTTGGGGTTTAATTTCAAAATTCCCGCGAGCCACCCCCGTTTTTTTCTAATGGAATTCCCCCCCCCCCCCCTGGGGCTCCAACCAATTTACAAGGTCGGAATATGCCTTAAACACGAAAATGATTTTCTTTACAAAATCCACACACGGTATTGTTAATTCATAAGCCATGAAATACAAAATCGTAAAATCTTAAACAAACCTTTGTTCCAAAGCCCCGGATAAGAGAGGTGAGGTACGGTTGTATCGAGAATATGCAGTTTAGTGAGTGGTACAGAGGGCGTCTTCAATTATTGACTTGATGATGTGAATCACGTGATATTTTTGAAAGAAACAACAGAGCATTGTTAATAGCTAATACAACAAGGCTTCGTTGCTCTGACGAAAGTAAATCGTCCAAAGATCAAGAGTAGCTAACGTGGCAGGCGTAAAAATTAAAGGGGTATGGTAGGGGAGGAATGCGACGGAGATGCTCGTCAGGACTAAATTCAACTCCAAAAGAAAACCAAGCTGGGCGAAGCACAGGCTTTATTTGAACCATTAAGTCGACTGAAAACAAACAGCTAAGAGCTATAACGCTATCAGAGCTATATTCTCGTGTTTAAGATGTATTCAACAGAGTTTGACAGCGGGTGCTTGGTTTGTTTTATAGAGATAATTCATGGCAGAACCCCAATGAGAGATACCTTTGTATGTATGGCTAACAATCTTGGCTATCAGCAGGAGTTGATCGGGCTTTCAGTCCTGCACACCACAAGTGAGGCCGAGATCTGGAATTTTTCACCCCTATAAAAGCGAGACGAAGAGTATCCCGGTCTTTTTCTTAGGAGTTCCCCCCCCACTCCCCGAGTACCTTTCCATCATCCCAGACCCTGTCAACATCTGCCTCGCAGGAATTCAAGTGTTTCTCGGAAGAACAGGAACTTTCTCAGCTCCCAGTGGGAATCGACCCATGACCTTGATCCGGATTACTGGTAAGTGTTCTGTGGATTCCTGTTTCTAGAACAAAACAGAACAGAACTTGTTTGTAATCCAAAGAGCGCCTGATAGCACATATGGTAAAAAGATCGTACGGAATTTTTCAATCCTCCAATTATAGCCTGCGAA